TTGCGAATAGGTGCTTGAAATACTTCCGATTTGTTTTTATCGCAATTAAAATGCAAACAAAATACGCAGAAACCAATTCATTATTGAAGTCTCCACCGACCATCATTTGCCGAGTAGGTACTTTTGAAAAAATATTTAATTTTTTCACTTTCTTCTCCAATTTATCACATATCAAACACAGGTTTGTCTATAGGGTACGTAGGAAACATTTAAACATAATTCTCAGAAAAAAACAGATATTTTTACATAAAAAACTTTATATGAAAAATTGTTAAAATGTTTTTGATTACACATGCAAATACCTATTGTTTCAGTCGTAAAGCACCAAACCTAACAAGGCGATTTAAATGGCGAATAGACAAAAACGAAATACGAAGAAAATAATAACTTTCATCCGTTGAGATTTTCTACATATCAAAGGGTACTGTGATTACATACGTACGTGAGCACCTCATTTCACAACTTCAGTTTTCATTGTTGACAAGAATATTTCGGTTTTATTTTATATATTTTTTTATTTTAAGTTGAAGATAACAGAACGTTGGCTGGTGATGAAATTGTTAAAACGGTAGAGATTTGATATTTCTCCAACTATTCTTGAAACGAGGCTCGTTCGAAAGATTTCTGTGCACAACCAATGAATGGTTTTCTTAAAAAAAGGTGTTTCTTGGAAAGCTATTTGGCTGATATGTTTGTTAACAAATTTCTGCCTGTATGCATCGTTGTGTTACACATTTTCAACGAAAATTAGAGAACTGTACTTTTTCTAAGTAACAATCTTACGTGAGTTACGTAGTTATAAGGAAGCTACTTTAATCTATTAGTAATTGTTTCAATCGTCAAATCTCCGATTCAGGAAATTTTAGCAGAAATTAATGTTATGATCTGTCCAGAATAAAATCTATTGTTCGATGTATATTTTCCTCCTCACTGCTATTCAAATCTTTTCAGCGATAATCACATATAAATATGTCTTTGCATGCTGTTTCAAAGAGCGCTCAGTTTAAATGTTGTTTTTGCAGTTGATTTTTTTAGTTATTGGTTAAAAATATTTTTAGTCTGAGCTTGCTCGAGAAGAGTTGAGTTTAGACTTATTATTTTATGTATGTTGCCTACAATAGACTTTCGGTAGGTAAGCGGCTGTATGTTTACTGGAAACAGTAGAGACTATGGCACAATAAAATAGTTTGGAAACAGTGACTTGTTCATGTGAAATACGGCTTGCTAGTTTCTTTCAAATTGCATAAAATCAAATCAAATAAAAAATGTAAGATATAGCAGCATAATATAAATCAGCCAAGCTTCTGTTGCTAAACTAGTTAAACTACTAATTCTGTACTAATGTAACTTAGTTTGAGCAGATGTAACTGCCGCACACACTAAATGAACGTTTTCGTTTCAGAAATCGCCATGTTGCTTCCGGGATCGCTTTCGCAAAGCAGAACAGCCAATGCCACGAGTGATATAAGAAAAAACCTGCGAGTAAGAGATCCTGCAGAAAATCCTCAGTATGATCCCAAGAAAACGTAAGTACACTTGATTTCAGCCATTTGTTTAATGTTTTAGTAAAGGATTATTGCGTGGCTTCGCAGTCATCAAGAAACAATTTCGAACTAAAGTGAATTGAATTAATAAAATGTAAAAGCGTTGAGCCTATAAATCTTGACTTGGCATAAGTGAAATTGGAAAAGTTGGTAAAGTTTTATTGGGTATCTTATGACTAAGATTCGCTGGATTAAAGAAAAGGGTGCCACAGATTTGAATTTAACAGAATATATACAGGTTTACGGGTATATTATGTTATATAACTTTTACGTTCGTGACTAATTAGTTATAAAAAGAATCATTTTTAATGAGCCGAAATTTTCGAGAGCAGAGAGAGACTCTTACATTCAGAATCGAGTTCCACAAACCAAACAAAAATTTAAATGCAATGAAATATGCCTCCAGGTGAAAGCGAATACTTTATCAATTAAATTCCAACCATAATATTTAAATTACTTCAGTGAGCAAAATTGCATGGTTGTTATTTATTGTTCCCGTCATTGTGCGTGGTCGAAATAAATTATCGATATTATCAGATTTATCGCAACAATTTTTGAAAATAAACTCCGGATATACTATGGAAAGCGGGATCAAATCTGGAATAAATGTGTTAAATTTGCCGCGAGAAGCATTCGTGTAGTGCATGCCGGATTTTTGGGATTATAAATACGTTTTTATACTTTGCTCTAGGGAAAATGACGGCACATATACATATTTAACGTGATTTGCATTTGTAAAGCCCGTTTATAACCAGACTTTTTATCAAATTATTTTTGATGAATATTCGTATTCGTCTGCCTATTTGAGTATTCTACTCACAAGATTTTTTGTGGAAATAATATTTGATAAATTTGTGGTAAACTTTTTGCAGCAAAAAACAAAACTAACTTTTGGCACATTTGTACTTCTTCTGTGGAATTATTGATATTGAACAGACATTTCGCAATTAATACTCCCAGACTGGCTTCCCTTCTTTGATCTTTTGCCAGTTTGGTTTAGCTGACTATTCTAATGTGCTCAAGATGCTAGACAAAACTAAATCAGAACTTCTATTTTAATAATAAAACATTTAGTCTCTCTGGACTACCGGAAGAGTACACAATTGGTTCTTGAACTATTCAACAACGATTTCAGCATTTCACTTATTTTACTTGAACATGATATAGGAAATTTAATTCGGAGAGACAATTCGGCAAGGTGGAATTCATACATAAACTATAGTTGAAAATTTGGAAAAAATTGATTATTCTTAAGTTAATTTCATATACCCACACGTCGCTCGAAGTAGAAGTTTTCGGTAAATTTTCTATTTAGCTGGAGAATTTTGATGGGATTCTCGATATTTTATGATTCACTATTTTTCATTATCGAGTTTAACTTTCAAATTTAGTATAAAGTTTCCATTAGAAATTTAGTAAGATTGAAAATTTAAGTGGGTGAAATGAATGTTCAGAATGCGTATTTCACATTCAAGTACTAAAACAGGGAACTTAATAATAGAGGAACATTACAAAAGACCCTTGACAGCATAAAAGTTTTAATATTGAAGTATGATTACCTCAATCCCGAGGAAAGGATTTTTTTTCTTAACCAGAATGCGAATATTCCCAGATGTAAATCTCTAACACAAAACTGCCCGTGTTTGTTTTTAAATTGTAACGCTTTAATGGATAATTTACTTTTTTGCTCTTGCCCAAGCTAAATTATTTTTAACAACGCTTCCAAAGTTTTCATTTAGCTTAGCTTTTAAGCCGGCAAATCCTTGGTTAATGCTTTACTGTTGGCAGATAAGGTTAAAGCTGCCTTTTGTTAAATGCCTAAACTGAATAGATTTGCCTCCATTCAGAGTTATAATAGCCAAAGCTGAACCGCAAACTGTTAAACGACTTTGATGTGGAAAATAGCCGTAGAAATGCTGCCAATCGCTTCGTTAAATTTGGTCTGTAACATTGTAAAGTTTGGAAATGTATAGCAAATGAAAGCAATGAGATAGTGAACTGAATGGAATCATGAGTATTGTATTATCAACACAAAGCAAAGAACACATTTTCCAACCATGAATATTCCCCTGCTAATTAAATTTAATTATTCGAGATATAAGGAGAACATTGATCATAGTTTTCCAGAACAATTTCTTCTTGTTTTTTTGACTTAAAAATTTTCTGAAGCTTACGTACCACGTAACTATCATCTCTTCTTGTAGCTACTTCAATCTACATCTAGGGGCAGCACGTAACCACTCGAGGTCGAAACCGAATAATTTTTATCTATAAGGAACATTCCTTGGAAGTGAACAGAAAGTTATGTTTTTAATTTAAAGCCAAATGACTGGACATGCAAAACTTTTACAATTACAATTGCCCTTTTTTATTTTTATTAATGTGGGCACTATTCAATAAAGTGCGACAAATGTTAATTTTCCAGTAAATAACTGTCAAAATAAAAAATTATATATAGTAAAATACTTTTTCAGTAAATAATTCAGTATCTAGAACAGTAGCTCGCTGATTACACTTAACCGTAAATAGTTAGTAAAACAGTAACACTTCCCTGTGCTATTTACAACTGTAACCACAAGTTTATTGAAAACTTTACTAATTTTCCAATTCTTTTATCAACTGATTAAAGAGGGCACTGGTGACACTCAACTAAATTTGTGTAAATATCTGATCTGTTTGGGTTAGTACGTACTAAATCTAGAAGTTGCAAGCTTTTTTTGGACCATTGCAAGCAATGTTCAGTAAGTTTAAATGGTCATAATTTACAGCACTTTTCTACTTAAGTAGTAGTTGTTGTCTGTAATGTATAGGTGAACTTCTGTTTTTCATTTATTTTCTATGAAAGCAATTTCTATTCTTTTTTCTTTCTTTCGTTTGTAGAAAAATCTTCCTGGGAGGCGTGGGCAGATTAGGACTCCTGCGGGCTCCCAGGAGATGAATCTATTTGCGTTTTCGACCGATGAAAGTGCTTTTGAAATGGAATCAATGAATGTACGAATTGATTCCTAACTAGCCCATTTTACTCACAGTAAAGCTGTGATAAAACTCTTCTAATTGTTATTGAAGAAAACTAATCACAGTTCACAGTATTCACGAATTATTTCCTTAAATTGAATGTTATCTGCAATTTAATCGAAAAACTGTTGTATCGACGGCATTGCATCGGTTGGTTTTGTGTCTAAAACCGAATTCTTCAATTTTTTTTACATTCACTTCCAATATTAACAAAAGTCTAGTTTTCAAATCCATATTTTCAAGACTACAGTGAATAAATAGACATGGACTTTGATTTAAACTAGGCAGGGTACGTGTATTGTCGACTCTAAGTACTTCAGTAGATGTAAATTATTTCCGTTTATTATTTCATTTTATATTCAATAAAATGCAATTTTGCATGTCTACTGAAATCAGCTTGCCGCAATAATTTAATGAATATCAAAATTATTAAAACTGCTATTCTTTTTAAAAATAAATATAATGTATTAAAAATTGCAAATTGAAGAATTCTTGTTTTCTTCAAGCAAGAAAAAGCAAACTTGTTGATCTAATTGGATTATACTGGAATCAAGGCATCATAAGGCACAGTAGATAATATCGACGATACAGTAGCAAAAGCCACATTACGAATCACTTCCTGTGCTAACGGATACCCAATATCCCGCAGTACTTCTTGCGGATTATCATTCAAAACTTGATTCATACTATCACCTGAAAATTTTACGTCAAGTTACTATTTTAACAACATTTTCAAGGTTTCCTTTCACCACTAACAAACTCTTACCTAAAGCCTTGTTTCCATTAAATAAATTTCCCAAATGAAACTGGGCTGTTTTCGCAATAAAGTCCGACTCGCTTGTAGTTACAGAGGCATATTCTTTTCCGTCATCCTTTTTTATCAATTCGTAACCAAAGACATAATCGAATTCAGTATCAACTGGAAGCAATGGAAAATTAGGATCAAACAAATTGGAAAAATGGACATCAAGAGAAAGCCATTTTACCCTCCGAACTTACTCAGTGTTATGTTAGCTGGTCCGGATCCGGTTATTGGTAAGACGAGAATCTGACCAGAAATTTCGTATTGTCCAATCAAGGTGAACTGCAAGTTTGAAAATTTTGAAGTGACGGTTTTCTTAGAAGGATCAACTCTAAAGAGGAATGAATAAATGAGGCAACTGTTGGGAAAAATATATTTTACCTACTCCATTTTAAGTACGTTAATCGTGTCCAATCCTAATAGAGAAACATCGTTCAATGTCATTTTCAAATTTGGACCACTATTCAATTCAAGTCTAGGTATTTTTACTGGGCTCAGTGGGGGAATTTTATATTCACTATCTCCTGGAGGTAAAAATTAAAAATAAAATGACATCCTAAATTTAGAGCACTATCAGCTTGATGTCTCGTCAGTTTACTCACATAATTAAGTTAAATTACAACGCGTTTCTCAAAGCATTTCAAAAATACTAATCAGTTAATGAAAATATTTTACCTTTAATCAATTGTGGGATTGCAATTTTAGCACTTTCTAAAGCGCAATCGTCCTTCGCTACAGTCGCCCTCTTACAAGGTTTTATATAGATAGCTGCAAAACACATGCTTAGTGCTAATTATTTTATTGATCAGTTAAAAATTAAACCGTCATCTTAATCTTATAAATCTATAATAATATAAACTATATTGTCAAAAATTACATTTTTTACTGTGACTAGTGCATATAGCAGATCATTTGTTTTTAATTTAAACATTTAACCCGAGAGGTTGTTTTACCAAGCCTGTGGAGATAATCTAAACCTTTATTAACATGTAATTAAGTAAAGTTTAGTAACTTACGTAAATTCTTCGACTCCGTAAGTTGCCAGCATATTCCAAAAATTATTAAAGCACTCCTGAAGTAATACATGTCGCTAACAAATGATATTCTAGATCAAACTACATCAAATCGATTCAAACTGCTAATTATATATAAATTTACATTAATTGGCTCTGCTGACGTGTTCATCACTGCCCATAATTTCAAATACCACAATTCTGCTTTTTATTAACCGAGTTTTCGAATCGCAAAAGTTTGTACTGATAATTGGCCAATAATTTATGAGACCATTTATTTCCTGAATAACTAAATGTCCAAATGTCTTTCACAGTATTTCCGTCTTTTTCCATGACACTTAACAATTAGGACAGTACGAACTGCACTTAAAGAGTACTTTTCAATTGCTATTCGCTTCTCGTTAAAATGTGTCGCTATAATTTTAAACTAATTAAGCTGTGCTTTTACTGAATTTATTATCGTTTATTTCCATTCTAATGTTTCAATTATTTCTAAACTCGGGCTTTGTACAATTAGATAAACTGTTGCAATAATGTAGTTAAATGTGATCACATAATCTTTAAAATATAAATTTCCATACTAAATTACCTCATAAACTAATGTATTGTGTCAACTCATGGCCTTTTTTGCTCATTTCAAAATTGTGTGAAAAATTATTTTCAAGCGTTGATCAAAATATATGTTTCATTATTTTTTCAAAATCGTCAATTAGTCTTCCTAAAAAATGGAATCTCTAAATGAAGCTCAATTTGTATTTTATAAAATATATTCTCACATGACATCTATTTCGATGTTGTTAATGATGAACGTAATATTAAGGATAACATGTGTTTCTAAAACGTGTAGTTTTCAGTAGGTAATTGATTTTGTTAGTGTTAATTACTTACATACGTCCTCTTTGTTACCTTTAGATCTATTAATGTATATATTATTAGGTTGTAAAACATTTTCTGATATTCATCAATCAGGCGTCGAACGACATGCAATTTATATAACTAGTTTCTCAGCAGAACTTAAACTGAGCAAATTTAAACACGTTCTATTAATTTTAGTAACTGCTGCATGATATTAGGGGTTATACGTATCAGTCCCTATATTTGAAAATAAAATTGTATTTGTTCTTCTTTTTCTTGCATGACTAAACTCAAATAGGCTAAAGACATATCTGTTGAGGTCGGTCAATCCCTGTATTGTTTTATTCTTCTTTCTTGTGTTCTATTTACTGTATTTTATTTTAATTAGCATTTTTATACCAGACCGTGAATATTCTTTTATTGAACTTTCTCGCCTGCCATATCTAAATTGGCTACTTATTTCTTGCCATTGATGTACTGGTCTTTTTCTTTGACTTCATAATATTTCTAATTTGTCGGCCCTGCATCCGAATGTGCTCATTTATCTTCGGCTAGTCCCTGTATTACTTACTAAATATTAGAAGTAAATCAAATAACCTTTAATTCAGTTCGCTATTTGTCGAAAAGAACTCATGCAGGGGAAGATCATTTAAGAAGGTCTAATAAACTTGCTGTTAATTCATTGCTATGAATTAAAGTGTAAAAATAGTAAAATGTGGACATTTCAAATTTAAAATAAAAGTTCTATTGAATGATTTCAAATAATATGTTTAAGAGTATAAGAGTAAATAAAATTTCAAAAATAAAATCTTAGTGGAGCAAAATAACAAACACGAATATCAAATGACGGAATTGTTAAAAATTCCACAGAGAATCAGAAGCTGAAATCTGCTGAGTCTAAATAGAATTGGGTGTTGCCGAAAGCTCTAAAAACATCAACGGATGCTCTCTACAATTCTTCTTTAGACCACTAGCTCTCGTTAACAGTTCCTGGACACGTGTGTAGTGAAATGGTTTTAATTGCTTCCGTTTTAAGATTATTTGCTGACAATGCGTATATATCTCCTATTTTGCATCTTCAAATCGCAGCAGAACTACATCCTTACCTGCAAGAGTTCTTCGGGAGACAAACTTCTAACTTCCGGTTCCAGAATTTCTATTTATAGATTATAAAATTCCAGTTTTTCTTGAACGTCTGATGGATGATTTATCTGCACTTTTCTGAGTGCTCCTCATTTGGAAATACTGGCATGATAAAGTTTTTACCGCTGCTTCTCTCAAACTCTGCGTGTTAAACGTTTAGAATTAAGAGCCCGCCAAAATACTAAATACACTAAACATTATACTAAAGTTTGAATAAACCGCATCTAATAATTTAACAATTAAAATGAAAATAGGAATATTATTTTGCAATACCACGATTGAATTAATAGATGAGAGAATAAAACTCAACTGATTTCATAAAAGAGATAGAAATCGAGTGCTGCTTGCAGAAAAATCCCTCAGATTATTTTCGAACGCATTCATAAAAATAATTCATTAAATCTTCTAGCTCAGAAACCCATTAAAGCCAAACGTGCGTTGATAACAAGAAAAATAAGTTTACGTGATGAATCTTCCAATGAGCAATGGAACAGTTTTCTGACGCACCCTGCACATACAGTTTATAAATGAAATTAATTGTTTTTACTAGCTTCTGTTTTAGTCAAAGAGATTTCCATCGATTGACGTTTAAAATTTTCAAAGGTTTCCAAAATAAATATAGCTTTAAACGCGTAAGCCCTGGATTGTAGGAAATATAAACTTGCCGAAATGACGGAAGGCAGTTAAATATTTGACTGGATAAAGGCTATTTCACATGTGTTACCTCGCTAAATTATGGACTTTCAGTAGTCTGTAATGTGGAATTAATTCAAATTCGATTCGTCCATATTCGCGCAGTAAAAGTACTATTAATTTTCAAGCTTAAAATGTTATATATGTTATAGCCACAATGTTATATGTTGAACAATATATATTTTTAATGAACAAATGAAACTTGGATTATAGAAACTGGTACTTCTTGTACCAAAAGCTTGCTGTTATCCTTGGGGGACCTTATATATAATGTATTCTATAACTGCTGAAAAAGTATATTTAACACTTCGTTTAATTTTTTTTATTTAGAAAATGTTTTTAGAGTTAAGAAATCAAAAAAGTATTTTTGTCACCACCCCTAACATTCTCATGTTTTGTTCGGCAGAGGCACAAACTAAGACTTGACATCCCATTAATGGGCTTGGAAACTATGGAAGGGAAAGTTTTTTTATAAATCGTGCAAATTCATCAATAATTAAATTAGTGAAATTTGTTTTTGCGTCTTTTGCATACTGTAGCTGTATTATTTGTAATAAACTGTTCAGCAAAATGAACGTTACACCAATAAACTTGCTCTAAGTTTGGAGCTGGATAAATTCTGATTGCCGAGAGCGATTTGGTTTCTGTTTGAAGCGTTATTGAACGGCATTAGTTTTTTGTTAGTCAGAGGAAAAAAAGAGGAAATGTGAAATTTGGGAATGCTCGACATGCTCTTACTTGTACAAGAAAGGTTTTTTGGGTATCAACCAAAAGTTTGTACATACTGCAAATAGCTCTAAACGGTTTTTGAATTTTTCGGGAAATGTCTTCTATTTACAGGGTGGTCTAAAAATCTACGTTTTGGTCTTAGCAGCGATATCTAGAACTCATGTTCAAAAATTTAATTGACAGTTTAATTATCAAGCAAGCCGGGATATTGAATTATTATTTTCTCAGGTCGACTATGAAATTTTAGCTTCAACATGAACCCTAAACTTTGACAATAGGTTGAAGAGAAAAAAAATATCACTGCAATACCAAAAAGTTATAATTGAGATACCAGGTTTACCCTTATGCCTGTGGTGATAAAATACAAAAAAAACGTTTTTTGTTCACCTGAAAGCATGTGAAGCTTTCATTCATTTTGCATTGTAGAAACTTTATCTTAATCACAATTTTTGTTGATAAAACACGCACTCACCGGAAGAGAATTGCACGAAATAACGCCTTATACAGAAAGCAAATCGCTTGAAGCAATGAGAAATTATCCAGTTTGAAAATTCGTCGAAACTCTTGAGAAGTTTAAATATACCGTAAGCATATGACCAAAATGGGACTGGCTCAACAGAAGATTTGATTAAAATTATCTTATGAAAAAATTTTTGCTATATCGAAAAAATGTGACTTTCTACTAACAAAAGAATCAGAATCAGAATCAGAATTTTTTACTTGGTAGCTGGAATCACCTCAATTTTTTGTGTGGATACATTAATCCTTTCTCGAGATATTTATGCTTTTGAGAATGTAATGTTTCTTGCAGTATTTGTAGTTCGTAGCAGAAACAGGCAAACTTTGTTACACACAAAAACTATAAATGCTACAAGATTTTGCCAAAAGCATCATATTACGGTTAAAAATGTTAATGTTTAGTCAAAACCGAAAAATAAATTGAGTGCTTCTACAAAAGAAAAAGTTTTGTAAGTTTTGTACCAAGACACTCAATAATTTACGACTTGGCCAATGCGAATGCTACGCGCATAGCTTAATAAAAACATGAGCCATGAAACGTAGGTACAAATCCACAGCAACTGACATCAAAATCCATCTTGGAATTTTCTTGTTTTTACACTAGACGATTGCAAACTTGGCTATATTCCTTTAAGAACAAACTTTTAATTTGCTGATGATCTGCGTATATATGATGTATTAGGAATTGTTGTTTAAAAACTGTTTGCACATCTTCGATTCTGTTCTGCTTTCTAACTTCTAACTGCTAACAAAGTTAGCATTAGCAAAGCATTAGTATCTTTTGGAGTTTGGCGCCTCAATGATTAAGTAAGTTTATGTTCTAAAATGCTTCTGAATAATAAATAAAACTAAACTGTTAACAAGTGTTAATATTTACTAATATATCTTCCAACTTATGTATTCTTATGAATAACAGAGACATATATAAATATGTTATCTACCAGATTGTATTTGCAATACTATGAACAATTAGCATAAATGTTTTTATGGTAAAAATAATTCATCAAAGGGTACATCAGTTACTATAGCATCGACTACTGAACCCACCATCAGACCGGCTACTTCTTTAGCAATGGAAAATCCGAGGTCACGTAAAACTTCTTGGGGATTTTCGTTTAACAACTTGTTCATATTGTCGCCTAAAAATTGATTTTTTTTGTATTGAAACTTATTTTATTTCAATATGTGTGAAACTTACCCAATTGTTTATTTCCATTGAATAAATTGTCCAAATGAAATTTCGCATCCCGAGCGGTAACATTAATCTCGAGTCCCGTTCGCTTTGGGTATTGTTTACCATCAGGTTTTTTGTAAAGTTCATAGAAATATTTATCGAAAAACTGAAGATCGACTGGAAAGTTGCAAAAAGTAAGAAAGTGTAGATCAATTGCCCCGCTTTTTTACGCCGCAATGTAAAGCGAGAAGGGCTACTTTTTAGTATACATTTATTATAATGAAAACTATTACATGTACTCACAGAAACTTATCTCGATTGGCCCACTGCCCGTTATTGGCAAAACCATAATTTGCCCAGAAATAGTATATTTACCCGTCAAAACGATCTTAGAAAGTGTATGTTCAAGTAGAACGTAGTTATCATGAAGCCTAATAAAAATTGCATATTAATACAAGCATTTCACTTGATGTAAAAAACAGTAAGAGTAACTGAGTTAAATCGGGATTGGTTTCAGTTATTTAGTTATCTATGTTTGTACGTAAAAAAGTATGCATACTCAATTTTTGTTGCATGGAAAGTGTTGAGTCCAACAATAGTTAGATCAGTCAATGTGAGCTTTAGGTTTGCGCCACTGTTCAATTCGAGTTTCGACAATTTTAAAGGATCGAGTTTGGGAATCTTGTGCTCTTTATCTCCTGAAAACATAAAGAAAATATGAACGGAGATTCTCGTGGCTTAACGTTTTGTTGAAAATATCGAAAACGACAGTAAATTCATAGCATTTTTCCCTCAGCGTTATCAGAACTGGATTCAAATGTTTCAGTATAAATTATGTCCGTAATCTAATTTATTAGGACATAAAAAAGCCGCCAGTAAGCAATAAGGAGTTATTGAAAAAACTATATTTGGACAAATCCAAAACAATAAATGTGCTTCCAACTCATGCTGGAATACATGAAACTATCACAGTTTGTTTAAGTTAGAGTAGGCTCCTGTACATTTCCCAATTAAAAATTTTAATGGTATTACACCTAAAAGTGTACTTTTAATAGCAAATTAGCACAGGATTACACACGCACAAAATTTACAAGTTTTTGCCTTTTTATAAGAAATATAAGTCACGGTATCATCCGCAAATACTTTTATGTTGCAAGTATATATGTCTCTTCAATGTTGATTTTGCTTTGTTTTTTCGTAATAAAAACGTTCCCGCTTAAAGTTTGTATGAAGGTACATAGTTATTTAACGACATTATGAAACATTTATATAATAAATTTCTATTTGAAAAATTATATCTGGAACACCCGAAAAATGTGTTACCAAATTAGTAGAGATATAAGATATTAACAATGTTTCAGACTTCTTTATTATCCATTTTCGATAAAAAAAATTCGTTCAAACGGAACTCGAAAAAAGGGCTTGGCCATATTCCTCAAGCCATGAATTAATACTTCATTGGGGGGTTTTACAAAACGATGTTTTATTTACAAAAAATGCGTGCATAGGAAATAGAGCGTTAAAAATGTATAACGGCTGGAAGAACAAAACCGCTCAAAATGGAATAAAAATTATTTGTAGTTATCAAATCATGCTACTAACTTAAAAACAATTAAATTGATTCAATTAATTAAGAGCATAATCATAAGCCTCAACTAGCAAATTTTTCATTATTTAACCGGAAAAGATGGACATTAATTTGTGTTGCATTGTAGTTATCAGCAATGTCTTTCAGTGAATTTACATTGCGAATAACCTAAATCGGTTCCAATTATTTAGGAAGGACGTACAGCATTGAAATTCATTGACACTTTAATATTTCTTGGCACAATATTAAAGAAATGCAGGTTAAATGTTTGTGAGTATCAGTAAAAGACCCCTATTTAAGTCTGTGGGTTTTTCGATCAATAGATGGGCAAAATAAAACACTATTTTTAATGGGTCGACATTTCATTGGCTGAAAAACACACACCCCTAAATAGGCGTCTTTTACTGATTATCATCACGGTCACTAATTAACCACAACATCTTTTGTGAGTATATTCACATAAAAAAATATTTGCAAAAAATACAAAATATTTTTTTTTAAGTTTAGAAGGAAAATATTATTTTCTGGTAGAAAATTAAAGTACATTCTTTATTGCCAATTTGAACAGCAGTTTCCACTCTTCAGTTTATCTTGTATTTTGAAAATTTTGTAGCGCATCTAAAATTTTTAAAGTTTTTGCATTAAATTTTATTTTTCTTATCTTACAAAATTATGTAGCGTGTATATTTTTATCCCAATTTTTCCAGATGCATATTTAACATATTAAAACATAATGTAATAAATATAAACATAATATCCTAGTTATAACCAGCTCCAGTTCAAATTAACAAAGTATCGCTTACCATCAATTAAATGTGGAACAGCATCATTGGCTTGTTTCACGGCACATTCGCTGAAATTAGGGTCTGCCTTTTTACATGGCGATATGTAGCTAGCTGCAAGAAAATATGAATTATCGTATATTCTAAAAAATACATTTTTGATTGGTTCATCAAAACAATATAAACTCAAATTCAAATTATTAGAAACTGCTTGAACTGCAGCTAGAGAGAATCCAATTTGCGCCTACCAACTTTCTTGGATTCTGTGCTTGTGACAGCAAAAACCAAACTGACTAAATACACAATAATTTTCATTTTGATCCACGGTCTACTACAACCACAGATCAGCATGCTATAACACAATTTTAGTACCCTCATTTTATAGTTCAGATTGTAATGACTTTTAATTTTTAATTACTGGAATTATTTAATTGGCGGAGATGTACAATTTATTATTAATAACATCTAGGACTTCTATAGGGTGACTAGAAAGTTTATTTAATTTAATGTCCGTGCAGAGAATAAAAGCATTTTATCGCACTGACAACGTTCGAAAAATATTTAATACGTATCTAAAACGTAAAAGAAATATAACTTAAGTTGGTAAATTCTCCAAAAATCAGTTTCATATATAAGCAATCCAGATCATTAGTGAAAAATCCTATCGACCCAATCGTTTTTTTCCCTTGTATATGTAAATATTTATCGGTTTCTTATACTAAATATACAGGGTGTTGCGAAAAAGTAAGCGAAACCGTAAAATAAATACGAGACTAGTAAATTAATTTTCAATTTGGACCATTGTGTTCGAAATCCAGGGTATCAAAGGTTGGAGTAAGTTTTGGTTTATTTTGAATAACTTTGTAACACTATTAGCAATCAATTTTGTACTGTAAGGTTTTTCCAGTTCAAAACTTAAAATTCTCCAGTAGTTTCGTTGTAACTCGTAGAAAGACATGTGTGCCACAAAAGTAATAATTCAGTAGTCTATTATACCTTTGTTAGTGTTTCATTTAGTGATGTAGTCTTAAATACCTAATAATGCTGATATTAAAGAATATCAATTTAAAATTTTTGCAGAGAATAGTCACGAAGAATTAGTGAACTAAAACCTTTTTTTTTTTTCAAATAATATTTTATAATAAGTTATTTTTTAAATCGATGCTTACAAATTTTAATAATGACCTGGAATTTAGCTAAATTTTAATTAATAATAACCCAAGTCTCTTAATATTTTACTATTAAGTTTAAGTTTTGTTGGGCAGCAACTGTGTTCCACAGGATACTAAACATTTGCAACATACTGAAAATACCATATGTTCGAGTCTTCAGTCATAATAAATAGTTTCTAGCACTGCTTGCAGAAATTCAAACACTTTCGCCTTCCTCAATAAATCAGTAACAGTTTCTCCATTAAACAAAATAATTACCGCTAATTGACATGTTCCAAATCGTTTAAATCGTAAAATTGTTTTAAATGAAATAATAATTTCTGTATACTTTAGTATATTTTTTTAAGTGCGCAAATAAAATTACGGATGATTTTTTAGTAGCAATTAGTCGGCCATGTCAAGTTAGGTGGAAGATTTTAAATTGAGCAATTCCGCCAATCTTAATAATTGTCACCAAAAAACATTTTATCACCAAGGCGGTAAACGTACGTAGAATATAAATATGCCCTTATTTCTACAAAGAATTCTTACAACGCGCGATGTCGCACAGTAATATTATTATTAATGTTTTTATAATACTTATTTATAATACTCCAAGTTTAGTAATGCGAAATTTTACTATTATGCATATTACTCATCAGTGAGAGCAGTTTTGTGGGAGATAAAGAGATCGAGTTAGTGCCTTAAGACCACACCACATAAGTAAGATGCTTAAAAAATGTTCTTCGAATGATATAAATTTTCGTTTTCGAAATAACGCAGCAATATTTTTCTGAGTCATTTTTTATCAAATCTATTTATAATTGGGTAACAAACAATCAAATAACAATTCAAAAGGGTGTTTAGAACCACGCTAATTGAAACTGTAAAAAAATATTTGATTTTGTACAGATAAATATTGCCAATATTATGCTGTGCGGGCACATTAAATAGTTTCAACACTTCATGGCAATTTTGGAGACAAATAACGTAATGGGCTATTGATTCGAAATAAAATTTAGAAATTGATGTGCAGAAAAATAGTTTTGTATTGCGAAAATCATAAAGCTTTCTTCAAATGAGCTAAGATATAAAGGAATAAAGGGTATACATTGTGTCCGGGCTAATTCCCTTGTAAATCTTTATTATGTAGATATTTAAAATTCCTATAGATATTCAAAATCCGCTAGTGAGTATTCGCTGTTAATTCGCACGTGGAGTCACGGCTAACAATGTGAACTTTTATGTTATCAAATTTCAAAAAGTACAATTAGGGATTATAATCAATATCTACTGGGTTTCATTGTTATCCAATACCGGGCGTGCAGAAGTACATCACTACATAAATTAAAATGTGATTTTAAGCGAGAATCGGTCACCATTTCTTTACAAATTTCCCTAATGGTACTTTTTGAAGCTGGACAACATAAAAATGTATGTGATTAGGAGCCATGACTACATATTAAATTTAAATCCACACCAGTCGAGTGTGCTTTTCAAATATCTAACTAATAAAGAAAGAATTATTGAAATCGATGAAAAAATTATGATTTTATAAAGGAAGTAATTTCTTAACCCGGATACACTGTAGATGCTGCAGCTTGTTAATAAAGTTTGAGCAACTTTCCCAAATGATTGGAACTCGTGAAATCACAATACAGTACTTTCGAAAAATGAGTTAATTTTTAAAAATGTTCTCAACTATTCAACTAGCCTGATTGATGCATATTCTAAACTTTCATCATTTGACAACTTTTCCAATTTTTAGAAAATAAATACATGTAACTTCTATTTGAACGATCTTTACGTACGAACCAAATATTTGATTTGCATTCCATTGTCAATGTTTCATATTCTTCCATTAGAAATTTGAATAAACGTCCCTTTTCAGCAATTTTTTCTTTCGGATGTCATTGGTGTTTCGTTAATTTGTTTAATGTATTTCTTATTCCTTATGTTAACGCCAAAAGATAACTTTAAACGCAAAACAGACCCTCTCATAGACAAGAAAATGTATAAAACCCGTAAATATCGTTACAAGGTGGTTTGCAGAGATGTTTCCAAATTTGCATGGAAGTTACAAAAATATTTAGCCCTTAGCATTAAAAAGTTCTTTGGGTAGTTTGCTATATGCAAACGAAAATGGTTCAAACTACTAGTTAACAAGGCTCAAACTTTTGATTTGCCTGAAGTCGCGTATTTTCATGATGCCATGTCTGAAGATAAGCTCGAACGTGCGGAGTTCTTTCAAGCCATTTTCACTGATAGCAACCACAATCCAGAAGTTCCTACCCCGGTTATAAAAAGCAAATGTTGATAAAATGTTAGAGAAATTAAAGTTGTTGTCAGTCTGATAAGCTCAAAATGGAAAATTAAGCACTTTCCGACTCTAGTTCAAACAGCACATTCGCTGGTTTCTGTTTTAAGTACTAGAAAGTTTCGTCAAGCTTTTGAGAACAACCAACGTTATCAAAAATTATTGAAAATGCATGAAATCAGTGATGATTGCCTGAGGTCTTGGAGATACTGTGCGAGTCAAATGTAGTATATACAAACATCCAACATATCAAAGCCGTTTATTATACGGAATCACAGTATTTTCCTTACTAGAGATAGCTCTAAGATAGATCAAAGATAATTTTATAAACAGTATCTTGAACAGTCGAAGTCTAGCCATTAACAAATCCTATTTTGTTACTTGGAAGAACTACAAGTTACAATGGGTTAATATGCCAAGAAGTTCAAGCTAGTTGATAGATATAAGTACTTAGAACAGCATAACCACGCTCTGTATAACATAAACATTATCTCATCTTTCTGTAGCACGATAAACCACCTTTTTCTATGTTTATCAAAATAGTCTTGGTTTGCCATACCAACTATACGTACCAAAATATCTTAGATTTTTAGCATAAAAGATGCCCATAAATGATGCGTTTACAGTACAGCTCTAAAGTAGTCTATAGAACAATATATTTTAGTTCTGGAACTAATAGAATAACAGTAAAATATATCAAAATACTCGAGATTTTAAAATTGTATTTGTATATTATGTGTATATATAATGTAGTAATTCAATTTTTTTAACAGTACACAGTTTTGAGGTTCAAAAACGGTCAGGAAAAAATTGTTCTTGACACTAAAAAGTCGAATCTACGGTTGTTTTAGTACGCTGTTGTTCGTTTACGCAAAGCGAGATGCAAAATATCGATCATTATTTATTATTAAACTAATTTTCAACGCTATTTAACATATAGTAAAGTTCGTTGTATTTTGGTCTCTGGACTCTCAACCTTCTTAACATATCATGGGCGTAAAGCTAAAACTGACCAAGCCTAAAATGTCAATTTTCAGTAAATGCCTTGGGGGATTTCGTCAGTTTTTGAAGACAAATACCAACATTATTTTTTAAATTATTTGATAAACAAATACAAATTCGGCAATTTTGAACTTGGTCAGTTTTAGCTTCAAACCCACGATATAACAAAAGTATGCATTTTGCAGTGGAATGCAATTTTTCGACTGATATTTAATTTATTCCTTGTTGGTGCGACGTATTGAGAATTTCTCATAAAGGCAATTTACCAGATACTTCAATACCTGAAACCTCTTTTGAAATATTGAAGATTATCTATCTATAGGTACCAACAATTCTTGGGTTTATGTATTATAACGCAAACAAGATGTTAAATTCTATTGCAGTTTGTCAGAGTGATATTGTAAAAGTAAACCGCATTTTACGTTTAAGTTTTATTTGGATAAATAATTAACTTTACATATAGTTACAGGCTGAAGGTAGAAAAAGTCATAAAGACCCTTAAGGGTACATAGTGACGCCTTGTATCTAGCAAACAACACTAATTAGTAAAAATTGTTTTTGAAAATTGTCACAATACGCAAACAATATTGTAGCCGACATTTCATAGGAAAAATGCTTGAAATCAATTTGAGCTCTTCTTTATTCACATATTTTGATACTTTTGACAAGTATCCACACGTCTGCTGAGCGTAAAATCAGATTTTTAAACAATACCGATTGTTTGAGCTCCCCAAAATCCGCTCGACTTTTGTTCGGCGGTTTCTGCTTGTATACGAAGGATAATCCTCAAAGCATGTTGGATTAATTTATTGGCTCAATTTTGCTAAAATATTACACTGATAAGTATGCAGAACGTCCGGAAATCACGCCGAAATAGTTTGGCTCACTTCACAATAAATTGTTCTTTTAAATATACCCCAAAA